ACACACACTCAGGTCACACACACACACTCACACACACACTCAGTCACACCACACACACTCAGTCATACACACACACACACACACTCAGTTCACACACACACACATCAGTCACACACACACACACTCACACACACACACACCACACACACACACACACACACACAGCACACACACACACACATCACACACACACACAACACACACACACACACACTCAGTCACAACACACACACACACTCATTCACACACAACACACACTCAGTCACACACAACACACTCAGTCACACACACAACACTCAGTCACACACACAACACACTCAGTCACAACACACACACACTCAGTCACAACACACTCAGTCACCCACACACACACACTCACACACACACACACACACACACACACACACACACACACACACACACCACACACAACACACACACACTCACACACACACACACACTCAGTCACACACACTCAGTCACACACACACACACAGCACACACACACACACACACACACACAACACCACACACACTCAGTCACACACACACACACACTCAGTCACACACACACACACTCAGTCACACACACTCAGTCACACACACACACTCAGTCACACACACACACTCAGTCACACACACACACTCAGTCACACACACTCAGTCACACACACACAGTCACACACACACTCAGTCACACACACTCAGTCATACACACACACACACACTCAGTCACACACACTCAGTCACACACACACACACTCACACACACACACACACACACACACACACACACACACACACACACACACACACACACACACACACACACACACAATGTAACTATGTGTTCGTATGCGGGCGTCTGTGTGTGCCGTATTTCTGAGTCATCATGATGGTGTTATATGTTCGTCATGATGACTTTGCAAATTCCGGTTTACGAGACTTTACAATCCATCTTTTTTCTTCTTCTTCTTTATTATTATTCATTCTCTTCTTCTATCTCTTATACTTATTCTTCCTCTTATTTTTATTCTTATTACTCTGCCTCTTCTTCTTCCTCTTATTTTCATTGTTATTATTATTGTTCTACCTCTTATTATTATCATTCCTCTCCTTAATATTATTCATCTAATTATAATTCTTCTTCTTCTCCTTCTTCTTTTTCTTCTTCTTTTCCTCCTCCTCCTTCTCCTTCTCCTCCTTCTCCTTCTCCTTCTTCTCCTTCTTCTTGTGTTACTAACCGAAAATTATGATATTCAGTCATTATTTTCTAAACACGTTCGTAAAAGACTCATTCATAACAGGCTCAGCTGGTTGGGTTTAAGGCGGGATTAATTTTTATGGTCCTTCTTTATCATCTCTCTCTCTCTCTCTCTCTCTCTCTCTCTCTCTCTCTCTCTCTCTCTCTCTCTCTCCCTCCCTCCCTCCCTCCCTCCCTCCCTCCCTCCCTCTCTTTCTATCTCTCTCTCTCTCTCTCTCTCCTCTCTCTCTCTCTCTCTCTCTCTCTCTCTCCTCTCTCTCTCTCTCTCTCTCTCTCTCTCTCTCCCTCTCTTTCTCTCTTTCTCTCTCTCTCTCCCTCCCTCCCTCCCTCCCTCCCTCCCTCCCTCCCTCCCTCCCTCTCTTTCTCTCTTTCTCATCTTTCTCTCTTTCTCTCTCTCTCTCTCCCTCTCTTTCTCTCTTTCTCTCTCTCTCTCTCTCTCCCTCTCTTTCTCTCTCTTTCTCTCTTTCTCTCTTTCTCTCTCTCTCTCTCTCTCCCTCCCCTCCCTCCCTCCCTCCCTCCCTTCCCTCTCTCTCCCTCCCTTTCCCCCTCTCTCTCTCTCTCTTACCCCATCCCTCCCCCACTCCTCTCTTCCTCCCTCTCTCCCTCATTTTCAACACGCGCCCCTCTATCTCTCTCTCTTAGTATCAGTGAGCCGTCAGCCATTCATCAGACAAGGTGTGTATATTACGCTGTTCCTGTGAGCTGGTTAAGCTTCCTGACGCGAGGTATGATTCAGTAACAGGTCTTTGCAGCCATATTGCACGGTTATCAATACTTGCAACTGCATAGAGGTTTCATTTGATGTGATGTTATTTGATTTTCTTCAGTGAGAGAAGAGTTGTTGTTTTTTACAAAAGTGAGAGATCTGTTATTAAAGTGCTGCTTATCATTAGTGTAACCTTATCGGTTTTAGGATTTCCTAAGACATTAGGTTTTATATTAAGGCATATGTAGATAGATGGTTTTATATGCAGATAGATATATTGACATATAGATAGTTTGACATATCTAGACTGGCTGACAGATAGACAGATAGATTGACATAAGAGTTGTGTGTCGATAGGCAAATACAGATAGATAAACAGGGATTTCGAGTGATAGATATAGATAGACAGATTGATATATCCAAATAGATATATAGGTAAATAGATAGATATGTTGTCATGGGTCAATATATGTACGTCTTTGTATACGAAAGCTAAACAATTTTATCGAGATATATACACCTATAAATAGACAGATAGATAGATATGCAAGTACCTGTATCTGAAGAGGTGTATTTAGAAAGTAGGTGTGTGCGTTATTTCGATAAATCCAATTATATAGATAGATAGATAGATAAATATATATAGATAAATGGATAGATGGATAGATAGATATCTTTGCGTGTGTTTTATTGTTAATGGTATGGTGCGTTTACTTGCGAACTTCATGTCCCTTATTGTTATACATTAATATTGTTGTGCTATGAAGATTAAGGTATTCAGTACGATTGTCTCTTCAGCCATAATCAAGTCATAGTACGATGATGATAAAAAAAAATGATATTGAAAGTATTGCTCTGTTTGACATTGTCTTATCATTTTAGAGAAAAAAAATATATAAGTAGAAGAAATATTTGGCAACCACCACCTTAACGCCATCTCGGGATTAAAAGAGCAACTAGTAATTCTACTTATAATCGTTAGAGGGCTTCTCTACTTACTGTTATCATCATCATCATTGCTGTAGTTAGGGGTATTAGTATCATTCTTATTCTCATTATTATCATCATCATTGCTGTAGTTAGGGGTATTAGTATCATTCTTATTTTCATTATTATCATCATCATTGCTGTAGTTAGGGGTATTAGTATCATTCTTATTCTCATTATTATCATTATTACACCATTATGGTTATTATCATCATCAAATATCCATTATACTTAGCCTAGGTCAGCAGTACTAGGAGGTAAAAGGACTGAATTTTGCTTAATTTATGTAGAGTGAGTGAAGGTAGGTGCGTGTTTGCGTGCGTCTGTGCTCCTATTGTAAATAATAATAATAATAATAAAAAAATAATAATAAATAAATAAATAAATAAACAACCGAAATAAACAAAACTAAGCAATCTGCCCCCCAGGAAGACGGATACAGAATGGTCGGATACAAGACCGCGCTGGTGGCGGCACTGGGGGCGCTGGGGCTGGCCTGCCTCCTGATGCGAGAGCCGCCCCTCCCCTCTCTTGACCCTGACCCGTGGTGGGGGCCCGGACCTCGCCAGCCGGAAGATGTCACTGTGCGGCCTTTCAAGATTGACATCCCTGAAGAGGTAAGAAAGAAGGAAAGAAAGAGAGAGAGAGAAAGATGGGGAGGGGGAGAATGAGATGGAAAAGGCAAAGAAAAAGAGAGAGAGAGAAAGAAAGATGGGGAGGGGGAGAATGAGATGGAGAAGGCAAAGAAAAAGAGAGAGAGAAAGATGGGGAGGGGGAGAATGAGATGGAGAATGCAAAGGAAAAGAGAGAGAAAGAAAGAAAGTAAAAATATATCTTTCTTTTCTTGTCTTTGTGAATAAAAAAAAGACATTTATAGAGGATACTGGACAAAATGGATGGATTTTACATGTACCGGAGGAAAAATAAATGAATAAAAACATGTATAGAAGATATTAAAGAAAAATATATGTGAATAAAAAAAAAGTATATAAACGTATACAGGATACAGGGGGGCGCTCAGGAGGCGGAGTCTGAGGCTTATTCTGCGACTAATTCTGCGTGGACTTTTCTTCCTCCTCCTTTCCTTTTCCTTCTCTTCTTCATCCCCTTCTTCTGTCCACTTATCCAAATCGTTAATTCATTCGCCACAATACTTTACCATAAGGCTTATTGAACAAAAAATAAAAATAATAATAAAAAACTTTCCTATCTGCGGCCTTATCGTTATATTCTGTATTTGTCGCTAATGACCTTAGATAATGACGCGGCAGATTTTTTGTTTTTCAATAAATGATGATAGTCGGATAATCTATTATCAGGTAAAAATAGATAAGGTACATGAGATAATTATAGAGATGCATTGTTGCTGTCGGTTACCAGTCTTGAGAGATAAGGCTTATCAGAACATCCTTAAGATTAAATGAGTCTTCAATATTTTTCCTCTTGTGTAAAGCTCTCTCTTTCTCTCTCTCCCTCCCTCGCTCCCTCTCCCTCCCTCGCTCCCTCTCCCTCCCTCGTTCCCTCTCCCTCCTTCCCTCCCTCTCCCTCCTTCCCTCCCTCTCCTTCCCTCTTCCCTCCCTCCTTCTCCCTCCCTCCCTCCCTCCCTCCCTCCCTCTCCCTCCCTCCCTCCCTCCCTCTCCCTCCCTCCCTCCCTCTCCCTCCCTCCCTCCCTCTCCCTCCCTCCCTCCCTCTCCCTCCCTCTCCCTCCCTCCTCTCCCTCCCTCCTCCCCCTCCCTCCCTCCCTCCCTCCCTCTCCCTCCTTCCCTCTCCCTCCCTCCCTCTCCCTCCCTCGCTCCCTCTCCCTCCTTCCCTCCCTCTCCTCCTTCCCTCCTCTCCCTCCTCCCTCCCTCCCTCCCTCCCTCCCTCCCTCTCCCTCCCTCCCTCCCTCTCCCTCCCTCCTCCCTCCCTCGCCTCCCTCTCCCTCCTTCCCTCCCTCTCCCTCCCTCTCTCTCCATCCCTTTCCCTCTCCCTCTCCCTCTCTTCCTCTTACATTTACTTTATTTTCCCTTTCTCCTTCGTTTTTACTTTGTCTTTTTTCTTCCC